AAATTGCCGTTTCACCTGGAGAAGTTTCAATGAAAATATTTCTTGCTTTTTTAACCATTTCATTTAATCAAAATAATTGACCTACCTTATATTTTTTTAATTATTTGACGAATATCAGATTCTACTAACTATCGAAAAATTTCAGGATTCAATGAACAATTTAGTCGACACGTGTTTCATTTTCGAAATTTTGCAATTTTTCGTGATTTATCGAGAGATGGTTATTTCACCTAATCGATATTCGTCCTGTTCATTTCAAGTGCACTAACAAAGTATTGTAATTTCCTTTATCATAAAAATTCTGATTTTTTTAAATTAAAATATTATATCAAGATATAACCTAAAAATTTTTATTTGATTTAAAATTTCGAATGCACGTGCAAAATTTCGAAATGTTAAAAGCAGCGAATAAACTTTATAGTCTGTTACAAATTCCGAGCAGTGCAACATGGTGAAATAACTTTGAATTTCTATCAAATCTGGAAACATTTCTCTAAACACGTTACCATTAATGGCGCTGGTTCTACACTTTCGGAACACGCACGCCTCTTTGTTGCAATTCACCTGTTTAATTCGCATCGGTTCGTTGCAAAAGACAGAAGTAACTAAGTCGCTTTGTGAATCGACTTCGAACAACGTTCTTAACGCGTACATCAATGAAAAAGGCGGTAATTAATTCTTACATAAATCGTGACAATGCAAATAACACAACTGGAATATCTTCTAGTTTTGCACATATTTGTCTTATATTCCTTACGAAGAATAAGCGATACATAATTTCCAAGTGATCGTAATAATTCGATCACCTGCTATATAACTGTATAACAAATTCACGGTAATGGTTATTTTAGCTTCTCTTCTATTTTTTCTGTAAATGTTCGAAATGTTTTCCTGTAAATTAATGAAGTGTTTTGACGAAATATAAAAAATTTTGGATGAATTGTTTAACTAACATAAAATAAAAATGTTTCGAAAGCTCGATTCTTTGTAACACATTTGAAGTTGGTGTAAACATATGTATCTATAATTTATCTGTCATAGCTGACCTTTATGATTTTACGATGAAACTTTAAAAAATTATTCATGTGCTACCTCACTAAGAAAATCCTTGGTCTATATTTCACCTTCAACCTTGGCAATTAATCCACTAACGAAACGAAACTCTGATTTCTTTCTACGAATATTCATATTTTAATAATTAATTTTTTGATACAGTAATTAATCTCTGTATCTTCCACAGAAAGACGTATTAACCCTTGACACTCGACCACCAACTCCAGCACTCTTTGAAAAACCAGGAATTTGTTTCGAAAAGAAAAAATTATACGTGTTTATGAATTTTTTTATATTTACTTCTTTCGTTAATTTGTTTTATTTCAATATGAATAAAACTTGAATGAGGTTATGGTGCAAAGTTACAGTGACGTGCAACAGGTTAAGAAGCACACAAACAGCACATTTCATTTTCAACCATTGCACAGTTTCTCTCAACGAGATAAATCACTGAATTACCTTAATTGAATTTTTCCAAACATTTTAACAATAATTCAACCGACCAATGAAACAATAATTCATCGTTCATTTGACATCAACACATGAAACAGAAATGCGTCGTTGACGTGACAACTCGAATGTTATTCATGTGTAACTAAACATGAACCAACTTCTGGTAATTAATTCAGATTGTCACCGATAAGAAAAAAAACACACCGAGAAAAACAGCGACCGCCAAAGAACTCTCGTGTATCACGATTACGTCACACATCGGCCTGAACTTCAACTGGCACGCATTGAATTTCTTCGCCTTTCATTCGACGCCGTCTCCTCTTTCCACGGACCGTGGATCGCAGAAAACAATGCTTCCCGGAGCAGGAAGAAGTATCGTGTCGTCGCGTAATGCGAATCAGAGCAGAGCAGAGCACTGACCTTGTTACTCTCCATATTTCATGAAACGGTTGCTACGCG